CGGGGCGAGCGCGCTGCCCTGGCCCCCCTGCTCTATGGCGGAGTCGCCGCCAGCGCCGCTGCCGCCCGCCGCGCTCTCCCCCTCCTCCTGCTCCGGGCAGCAGCGGCCTCCCCCCGGGTGCGCGCGCATCCAGCCCCCTCCCCAGCCGGCGCTGCGCTTCTTCCGTAACCGAGCCCTTGGAATCCCGGAGACCCGCCCCGCCCGCAGCGCGGCGCGCGGGGGACGCGCGCAAGCATCATAGAGCGGGCGCGCACAGAGCGGCCCTCCTGCCCGGGGCGTGGCCCCGCCGTGCCTCTTAAGTCCTCCAAGCACTCTGGGCCGCCATCTTGTCTCCGCCTCCTCGGGGACCCGCCCCTGCTCCGCCCCCGGCCGCGCCCTTCCGAGACCCCCGCCTTTCCTAAGGAGCAAGGGGAGCCGGGAAGGCTAGTTGGGCCCTGACTGCCGAGTCACTTGTGGAGGAATGTCCACGTGACTGCGGTTATTTGTTTCAAATAGGGTTAACCTCCCCTATTATGTTATTTTTTTCCGTACATTTACTCTCAGTTAATGAACAAAATATAGGTCAATTTATAGTCACTAATTCAGCTATTGTTCAGCTGGGTAATAAATACCCGCTTTGATGACACTAAGTGATTTATGCTTGATTACTAATTGAAAGGTTGGTGGTTCAAATCCCATCATGGGTGTTAGAAGAAAGGCCTGGTAATCTACTTCCATAAGCTTACCCAAAAAAAAATCCAAAAAACCTGTAGCCTTGCCATCGTTGCCATCCAATTGATTCCGACTCCTGGTGTCCCCATGTGTGTCAGAGTAGAACTGTACTCCACAGGGTTTCCAAGGGCTTAAATCTTATGGAAGGTTTTTGGGTAGTGCAAACAGTTTGCTCTTGGCTACTAACCAAAAAGTTCGCAATTTGAAACTGCCCAGGAGCATCACAGAAGAAAGGCTTGGCAGTCTACTTCCACCTCTACACCGAAGTTAGGAGTCCCTGGGTGGTGCAAATGGTTAAGCGCTCAATTACTAGGTGAAAGGTTGGTGGTTCGAACCTCAAAAGCTAGGCCTGGTGATCTTCCAAAGGTCACAGCCTTGCAAACTCTATGGAGTGACCATGAGTCAGAATGACTCAAGGTAACTAACACCACCACCACCACCACCAAGGTTGGCCTAGTTGCTCAGATGGAAGGAATGAGGAAAGTGTCCCATTAGATGCATCACTATCCTCCAGGACTAGCCTTCAGAGCTCTAAAACTCTGGATTGACTAGTCCTTCCAGAACTTTCTAAGGCTATAGCAAGGGAAATAGTAATTCCCTCCAGTCACACTGGGTTCATCTCTAGATTTTGCTTAGAATGATCAGAATCTGTGAATCCATCTGTAATTTATCAGATCTCTTAGGGTCTTAACTTGTGGAGCACTGGTGGCATAGTGGTTAAGAGCTTGCCTGCTAACCAAAAGGTCAGCAGTTTGTATCTACCAGTGGCTCCTTGGAAACCCTATGGGACAGTTCTACTCTATCCTATGGGTCACTAGGAGTCGGAATTGAGTCCACAGCAAGGAGTTGTCTTTTTTTTTTCCTTAACTCAGGCTTCCTCGTCTAATACAAAAAACCAAAAGGCTTTTGACTTGGTAAATACTCTCTGATGTTGAATGACCAGTTTAACCTACTGCACAAGTCTTTGAGTATCTGACTGGGATTCAGTTGGGACAGCCAACTCCTAATTCAAGTGTGATTTTGAAGGTAATGACAAAGTGATTAACGAAATTGATTTAAATTTCAGAGAAACATTTTGTATATGTTATTTAACGTTTATAGAAATGTGCTATAGAAATTCAAGATGAAATATTATGAAATGTTTGGATGACTGAAACAAGTAAAGCACATTTTATCAGATTAATAATACAGTATCTTGGGTTTCTGTGTACATAGGACCTAAAAGTTGAGGACAAAGTTTAATATATAGAATAATTTGATTAAAGTAATAGAAAATTTATTTCGTTCACCTTCACAGTATCTGCAGCCAGACCCTAACCAATACACAGCTTGTCTATCTCTGAGTCTGACCTTAAAATAAAAAAAAAAAAAACCTTAAACCAAAAGTATCCCTTGAAGACTTCTTAAAAACCAAATAATAGTTTAGCTTAATTAGTGAAGAATTTCTGCCTTGAGCATTACATTCTTTTAAGATCTATCTATATGAAGATCAAATTGACAACAGCAACTCAAAAAATTAGATAGGAACCTTAGGGGGCAGTGAGTTTATGTTAATGGGGGAAGAACAACTCAGAAAAGGAGGGTGAGATGGTTGCACAACTCTAAGAATGTAATCAATGTCACTGAACTGTACAAGGAGAAACTGTTGATTTATGTTCTGCTGTTCATATTCTTAACAACAAAAAATAAAATAAATTATAAATAAAAAGACCATCAAATTTTAAAAAAGGAAAAAGAAAAAGCCAATGTCTCGAAAGTCAAAGAACAGTTAAAGAATTTTTCCAATCAGAGGAGGCTAAAGAGACATGATAACAAAATCTATGTTTGTTCCTGGATTGGATCCTAGGTCTAATAAATAAAAATGCTACAAAGGTCAGTACTGGAACTACTGGTGAAATCTGCATATGGACTATATATTAGATAATAGGATTATATCAATGTTAAAGTCTCTGAATTTGATCATTTTATCAGGTTATATAAGAGAATGTCCTTGTTCATTGTACTATGCAGGCAACTCATCTGTAGGTCTGAAATTTTTCAAAAGAAAAAAAAGACTGAAAACAAAACAAAACAAAACAAAACAGAACCCATTACTGGTAAGTCGATTGTGACTCATGGCGACCTCATGTGTGCAGAGTAGAACTGCACTCCACAGGGTTTTTCAAAAGGTGTGATCTTTCAGAAGTAGATTGCCAGGCCTCTCTTCCAGGGTGCCTCTGGGTAGATTTGAGCTGCCAACCTGTACAGCACTTAACCATTGCACCACCCAGGGATTCCTGAGCTTGGACTTCTCAATACCTCAATCAATATGAGATTTACTGGTTATAGTTTCCTCCAGGAAATCCATCTAGAAATGTGTCCAGCAAAGAGTTGGAAATTCAAGCCAGGATCTCAGGAGAGAGTTCACTAATAGAGACATGCGTTTAAGAGTCATCTTGTGAGCGTTTATAGTAAAAATAAAAGAGGACCAAGAACTGAATCTTAAGGAACACCTACATTTAAAGCTCCAGTGAATGAATAAAGCCAGGAAAAAAAAAAAAAAAATGAGATCAAAGTTTGGAAGTAAAAGGGAGGACCCTGATTTTCACAGCTAATTAGGACTAAAGGATAAAGATGAGCAAAATTCTCAATAGAAAGGGCAATGGTATAGTATTGGAAAATTTTATCTTTCCAGGCTGTGTCTAACGAGGCTGTATGCCAAACAATGTAATGAATGTAAAACCATGTTAAAAAGAATATGGTTAAGGAGCCCTGGTGGCGCAGTGGTTAAGTGCTCTGCTGCTAGCCAAAAGGTCAGCTTTTTGAACCCACCAGGCTTTGATTTCCGCTGCCAGAATCCATTAGCTAAACCCCAGTAGGTATAGTTTAGTGTTCCCTCTGGTGAGAAAAATCTCATCTAGCATTTCAAAAGCTTTTTGGTCACACTTGAATTTTTCTGCTGTGATACCATAGAGCAAAACGCACAAAAATAAAATAATCATAACATTTATTTATCCTCCCACTAGAAGAAAACAATCCAATTAAGGAAAGCAGATGGAATCTCCACAGAAACTAGACAGAGACTCTAGAAGTATTGAGAACAGATGCTAAATACCTAAGAGACAAGTCCCTCTACTTCCTTTAAAACACTTGACAAATTATAAACCTTTTATAATTCTGAGAAAATGCATTTTCCCAGAGAAGCATAGCAACATTGTTGTCTCAAGCAGTAAAGATGTGACCAAATTTCTCAACTTTATCTGACAATGGAAAAGGTCTTGCAAGCTTCATCTGACAGAAAAAGTTAAAAAGCTACTCAATAAGAGAGGATTATGTCTTAAATCTGGTCCATTAAACAAACAATAGAGATTTAACGGCCTCTGCTCTCTGCCTCCCAGGTGTAAAAGCAGGTGCTGAAATGCCAACTGTCACCCTTGGAAGACTATCCATTCTTTAAAATATTTTTCCCTTGATTGTTTACCAGGTAAAGCTGGGGTGAAGCCATCAAAAAACTGTAGTTTTCAAGAAAAACAGATATTAATTTGAACTTTTACTGAAGAAAACAGAACAAATTCCGGGTATGAAACTTAAAAGAACTTTAGGGATGTAATGACTGATTTGGAGAGCTGTATCATTTATTTACAAATATATAACTTGAATCTTTGAGTGTGACAAAATAGTCAATAAAAGAAGGGTTTGAAAGTTGGAGATCCTCCTTAACGCCTACCAGTGGCCATATTTGCATCAGTTTCCCTCCCTTGTGAAGTCCAAACAGTATGGTTGGAATTTATCCTTGCATTGAACAGGAGTAAGGGCATAGCAAAAAACATTTTCCAGCTCTAAATTAGCAGGTTTTATGAGTCACTGAGTTGGCTCAACTACTGTTCACTTAATTCCCAACTGAAATGAAATGCTGCTGGACCTGCATGTCAGGAGGCCAAGGGACACTCTCATGCACATGCAGTATAAAGATTTTTTTTTTATTATTATTATTACCTACCGCTTGGCATGACTACAGAGGAATCTTACACTGCATAACTGAAACTAAAAAGAGAAGAGTTTATAACAATAAAAGGCAAGCGAAAACAAGGAGAGGTAAATTTTGAACTAATGGGAATTATTTAAGAAGATGCTGTCTGGTATTTTGAAATGTTCTGCTAGCTGTTACATTAGCCATAAGTAAATGTTTGGGATTAAGGGATGGAGAGATGCTTATTTGATTTGTTGTTGTGGTGACTGGGTGCCATTGATTTGATTCCAACTCATAATGACCCCATGTGACAGAGTAGAACTGCCCCATAGGATTTCCTAGGCTGTAATCTTTACAGGAGCAGATAGCCAGGTCTTTCTCACTTGGAGACACTGAGTGGGTTTGAACTACCGAGCTTAATAGTTGCACCACCAGGGCTTCTTCCTTATTTGATTTAGTTCCTTAAAAATAAAAAAAACACAAC